GCTGTCGTTCAGCTGCAAACGTGGGTCCGACGCGAACCTGGGATTTTAGCTCCGAGTGGTGGCGGTTGGGGGAAAGAGGAAGAGGTACATAGGAGGAGTTCTCGTATTTCTCCCACAGGAGACGCGGGAAGGGTCCCCCGAACGACTGGGCGTAGCGGCGCTCCCACTCTTCGCCCTCGGTGGCCACGCTGCGCCAATACTACCGGTTGCGCACGCGGTCAGTTGCCATGTAACACACTCTCGGTCGACACAAACGAGGTGCGTACCTTACAAACGCTGGCGAAACGGGCGTAGCTCTCCATGCGTCGCTCGAGAAACGACCCAATCTGCAAATCGAAATGGCAGCTTGTAAGCGTGTGTGTCGCGTGTGTCGTGCGGTGCGCTCCAGGTTTCAGTACATACGTAGCGTATGATCTCGGGCGGGAGGACGGGTATGGGTACGCCCGGCGGGTGGAAGTTGCGCAGCCACTGCTGTCGCCTTTCCTTCTCCTCGCGCCTCCGCTTCTGCTGGGCGTCTTCCGGAAACAGCTCGTCCATTAGCGACCCTTTACCCTCTTGCGCTTGGTCTGCTCCATCGTCTTCGTCATCGTCATCGTCATCATCCAATTCGTCATTCTCACTAAAGCCAAAGTCTTCCTCCTCTTTTCTCTCGTCTTCTTCGTCTCCTTTCTCTTCTTCCACCACTCCTTCGTCTTCTTCCTCCTCATTCTCTTCGTATTCGTTTTCGTTCTCGTTGTCGTCTTCGCTCTTCTCAGCTCTGGCCGGCGATGCCGCGGGAGAAGACGAAATGTCGATGACGGGCGGAGGTGGAGGCAGTCGGTCCTGCGCGGCGGCGAAGGTGGTCGTGGTCGTGGGCGTGGCAGCCATGACCAGCGACGGGCGAAACGAGAGCGCGCCGTTCGCGGGCGAGAACGCGCTCGACGTCTGCACCGACCTCAGCGGTGATGACGTCATCAATCCCCTGATCGGGGTCGATGGCGACAGGCCCAGCCCAGGCAGCGGCCCCTCAGCTTCGGCCACGCACGCAGCGGCGGGGCCGATGCCTGGCGGCGAGTTGTTGGCGACAGCGCGTGGCGGCGTCATCGGCGAAGCCGCGGGATCGCGAGCCGGCGCGGCCACGTCGACGTCGACATCGAAGCCGTCGCTATTAGGGAGGATGGGGCTGGGCAAGTGGTCGCCGCGACCAGCGGTGGCGGCGGCGACCAGCGACTCCAGGTCGACGCTGCAAAAGAACGAATCGTCGTAGTCGGCGTCGCTCAGCGTACCTGAGGTCGGCGACGGCGACTCGGCCGCCTTGTTTGGAGTGGTGGCGGCAGCGACAGTGGCGGCTACGAAGCTCGACTCGAGGTTTCTTCGCGGCGGCGGGGTCGAGGCCGTAGAGGTAGCGGTGGGCGGTGGCGACGTGTAGTGGAGGTCGGCAGCGTTGGTGCTGTCGCTGCGTCCTCGCGTGTCGATCGGTATCGTGATATCGTTCTCGTTCTCCTCACCATCCTCTCCTCTACATGTTTATATTGTAAGGTCAAACATTGATTGTAAGAGAAGAGAATAGTGAATGAAACAAGTACTACACTAACATTTGGAAAAAAAGGATGAAGAGGGTGT